GCGAATCGAGTCAACTCAGACCGTGTTTCCGAAAGCACAATTTTTCGTCATCTTATATTAATCTTATATTCAAATATGTTAATTCGTGTAGATAAAAAGTCGAATCGTGTGAATTAGTACGAAACGATGTACGAGTCCACGCAGATCTAACTCAAGACAAAATCTGTAACAGTAAAAAGCTGTTGTTAGGTAGGAATATATCCCATCCATATTCTCAAATTTGTTAAAAGATGTGATTTTATTCAAAAGTATATATATGTGTGTAAATTGACTAGATATTACTGATCAAGAATAGGTTTTTTGTGCTAACATTTTACTAAAATATGATGTATAGACTATAGAGACCATATATACCTGCAACATTTTGCTAACATTGCTAGCTCCGAAAACCTTGTGAACAATGGCGAACTTGTGAGGGTCGTCGGACGGGAAATAAGGCGCGAATATGCAGTCCTTTGCGCACCGCCGCCTGAGCAACTTGCATGAAGCGCACGGCGAACTTCCACCACCCATTTCTTTAAGATATTCTTTTAATTTAAAGAAAGGTTATTAAAAAGCAATTTAATCTAAGGAGAAAAATAGAAAAGGGCAAAATCTGAAGCTCAAAAAGGGTTTGTGTGTAGGATATGTATACTGGGAGATAGAATTGGTGTGTGTATTTATAATAGTTCGAGAGAGTGTGCGTGTGAACTCAAATTGCATCACCACATGAGTTTAGTTAAGAAAGATTGAGGAGTACTGATCAATTAATTAATTGATTGTTTTAGAATATGTTGTGTGTTTGTACTACGTGTAACGTTGCACAATAATGAAGCAATAATTTTTTTTTTTGGTACAAGAACCTTCCAGTTTTCGGATCTACAATGGAACCGACTAATTCGGAATCGAGCCGGATAGGACCACAAGGGCGGCAAAGCTCTCACTCAAGAGTTTTTAACACTGTTGCATTTCCAGGGCTCAAACACGAGACCACTAATTAAATTGGAAGAAACTCAAGCCATTTTATTCAAGCGCAACTCTTTGGTATGAAGCAATAATTTATAGGAGGAAAGCAAGCCTAGCTCCTAATTTGAGTATTTAACTAAAAAAAAAAAGTCGCAATTTATATATTTTTTTTATTTATTTATTTTTTTTTTTATGTGTGACAGTGTAACAGTTGAGTGTAGGGAGTGTTCGAATTTTTGTTCAAACCGAAATATAAATTCTGATTTTTTTTCAATGTCGGTTTCGGTTTTTATTTCTAAAATTTCAGTTATTTCAGCTTAATTTTTACAATTCAAATTAATACCGACGGATGAACACTCCTAGTCAAACGGATCGATTCATTATACATATATCTTTAGTTAAAATAAATACTTATATTAAAAAAATATCGTACGTGTTTATGTCTGTGTTATATTATTAGAGTACGTCACTTGTGTAATGAAAATATGCATTTTCATTAAAAAAAAATGTATAATTGTGTAA